TTAAGTGTTCCCTTTATTTTTTTGAGCAGTGTATTTGGCCTGAATGCCAAGTGTCACATCTGGAGGAAACCAGGCACCGCTCATCACCTGGCCAATACCATCCCTACGGTGAAGGATGGTGGTGGCAGTATCATTCTGTGGGGATGTTTTTCAGCGGCAGGACTGAGAGACTAGTCAGGATCGAGGGAAAGATTAACGGTGCAAAAATACTGAGAGATCCTTCATGAGGGAAAGATGAACGGTGCAAAGTACTGAGAGATCCTGCTCTAGAGCGCTCAGGACCTCAGACTGGGGCGAAGGTTCACCTTCCAACAGGTCAACGACCCTAAGCACACAGCCATGACAATGCAGGAGTGGCTTCGGGACAAGTCTCTGAATGTCCTTGAGTGGCCCAGGCAGAGCCCAGACTTGAACCCGATCTAACATCTCTGGAGAGACCTGAAAGTAGCTGTGCAGCGACGCTCCCCATCCAACCTGACAGAGCTTGAGATGATCTGCAGAGAAGAATGGGAGAAACTCCCCAAATACAGGTGTGCCAAGCTTGTAGCATTATACCCAAGAAGACTTGAGGCTGTCATCGCTGCCAAAGGTGCTTCAACAAAGTACTGACTAAAGGGTCTGAATACTTATGTAAATGTGAAATGTCCGTAAAAAAACTTTACAAAACTATTTTTGCTTTGTCATTATGGGGTATTGTGTGTAGATTGATGAGGGAAACAAATTATTTGATCCATTTTAGAATAAGGCTGTAATGTAACAAAATGTGGAAAAAGTAAAGGGGTCTGAATACTTTCTGAATACACTGTAAGTCCTGTGCCATTATCATATATTTTGTGATTTTACAGTAAGAAGAATATAATTGAACTTAGCTGAATAAAATAAAAATGATATTCTCCTATTCAGGAGCAAGTGTGCATATGAAGTGGCTATGTTGAGCGTAAAAGTGATCATTTGAAACAGGTCCTATACACTAGATTTAGAGTTATTTGGCAACTTTAGTTGAATGATACAAACCTTAGAATACCTTAGAAATCAGAACATATATGGGCTGCATGATGCGACTGTAGGCTATTGACGGTTTGAGAAAGTCACAAAAAAAGCTTGTGCTATGTTCCTTGCCTCAGGCTGCAAACGCTGTTCTCTTATCAAGTGATCACATTTTCAACCATCAAACTTTTCTCAATGCCTTTACTAATACTGTATGTAAAATTAGTTTACATTTAGAATGGCCCATTATCAAATGGGCCGGAACAGGGACAGGTAATCCGTATGCACTCGATTAGCGAATGGAGGCCGCTTTCCCGCCGGTTCGTTTTTCATGCTGGGTAGGCTACTCAGGTTATTTCACTCCACGCATAAATCACTGTTTGAGGAGCATGTAGCCTCTCGCTGCGCGACAGTTGATATTCTGCCCAAACTCTGTATGCCATGGGCTCTCCAACCCTGTTCCTGCAGCTACCCAGTGCTTATTTTGGGAAAGCAAGTGAAATCTGTTCGGGAACATCGATAGTAACATGTTTTCACAAGGAAACATATTTCATTAAACTGTTGACAGCCCCTCTCTCTGCATGCTCGAGAAATGAATGAAGGAGAGAGAGGAGATGTAAATGCAAGGTGGTGAGATATTCTGTAACTAAAGATAATGTGTCATCATATATGAGAAAAAATATGCCCTATTACTAGGCTATTCAAAATCAAATACAAATTCACTATAATTGTGGGCTAACTCTTTAAACGAGTTGGGTACCACCAACGAATGTCCAGAGTGCATAAGAGGAGATTACCATGACGGTCCGGTGTGGCTCAGTTGGCAAAGCATTGTGCTTGCAATGCCAGGGTTGTGGGTTCGCTTCCCATGGGGGACCAGTATGAAAGATGCACGCACTCACTATTGTAAGTTGCTCTGGATAAGAGCATCTGCTAAATGATTTTTCTTTTAAATGTGTGGCGGTAATGAGGTCACCTCAACAGCCCTAGGTGGGTCTAAGGGTTTAGAGCAGGGGTGTCAAACGTCCGGCCCGCGGGCCGGATCAGGCCCGCAAACGGGTTTAATCCGGCCCGCAAGATGATTTAAAAAAAAATAATAATAATAATAATAATAATAATTTTGTAAAGTATAAAAATGCGCTGCAATTTTTCAATAAAATAAACTGCTGTTCCAATTGCGTCCACTGGATGGCGCAATAGCAATTGTGTTAAGCAAGCAAACTGTTTATACCGGGGCAGAGCAAGTAGGTCAAGCACGTGCAGCCAATGAGCTACTTTGTTTTGCCCGCGATATTTATTACGGCTTCTACTTTTAACATTATGTGCTTTGGCACCCTCATTGCCCCAATATGTCTCTGTCAAAAAAGAGAAAAGTGGACGCAGAGTGCAGAGTGTTCCAAGAAAAATGGTCATCCTATTTATTCACGGAATTGAATGGGAAAGCTGTATGTTTGGTGTGTTCAGAGCATGTTGCAGTGCTGAAAGAATATAACCTTTGTCGCCACTATGTGAGTCTTCATGCCGACAAATATGACAACTTTCAAGGACAGCGGAGATGAGAGAAGGTGAATGAACTGTTGGCGGGTCTGAAGAAACAGCAGTCTGTGTTTACTCACAGCCGAGACATCAGTGACGCTGCAGTGAAAGCTAGCTACCTCATTGCTAATGAAATCGCAGTGGCTTCAAAACCATTTAGTGAGGGTGAATTTGTAAAAACATGCATGATGAAGGCAGCGGAGATTGTGTGCCCTGAAAAGCGGCAGGCTTTTGCAAATATCAGCCTGACAAGAAACACAGTTGCAGACAGGATTTCCGATCTTTCAGTGGATTTGGACAGCCAGTTGAAGCAAAAAGTAAAGTCATTTATTGCGTTTTCGGTTGCAATTGATGAAAGCACGGACATTACAGATGTTACACAACTGGCCATTTTCATCCGCGGAGTTGATGACACATTGACCGTCACCGAGGAGTTCGTGGAGTTGGTGCCGATGACAGATACAACGACAGCAGCTGATATTTTTACCGCACTCGTCGGCGCGCTGGACAGGGTCTGAGTGGACTGGTCCCGCGCTGTCAGCCTGGCTACAGATGGTGCGCCCTCAATGATCGGGAAAAAAGCAGGCGTTGTGACAAAGTTCAGAGAGAAAGTGCAATCTGCAAATGGAGGACGTGATTTTTTTACTTTTCACTGTATTTTGCACCAGGAGGCTTTGTGTTGCAAGTCATTAAAGATGGATAACGTCATGAAGGTGGTCATCCAAACTGTTAATTTCATCCGATCCAGAAGCCTGAATCACCGTCAGTTTGACAGCCTTCTCAGAGAGAAAGACCACATCTATGGCCTGCCATACCACACTGAGGTAAGATGGTTAAGCCGAGGTGCTGTGCTGAGGCGTTTCTTTGATTTACGAGAAGAAATTGAACAGTTCATGGAAGAAAAGGGCAAACCAGTGTTAGAATTTCATTCCGCAGAATGGATGCAGGACCTTGCATTTATGGTGGATGTTACAGAGCACCTGAATAACTTGAACAAACAGCTGCAAGGGCGCAACAAAGTTGTCACGCAGTATTATGACAGCATACGTTCTTTCAAGTTGAAGCTGTCATTGTGGGAGACGCAACTTGCCGGTGGTGATGCAGCTCACTTCCCCTGTCTGAAAAATGTGTGCGCGACCCAACATGTGGCAGACGTGAAGCGGTTCAAAGATAAAATAACGGGACTGTTACGGGAGTTTGAGCAACGCTTTCAGATTTATGTTTATATGTTTTTATGTTGATGTGCTATTGTTTTTAATTGATTTTATTTTATTTGTATATTTAACCTATTCTTGACTCTGTGGTTCTTGCACTTGTTTGGGGAACAGGATTTCATTATTTTTATCTACATTTCTGCCTGAGAAATGACACCCTGATATAGTTCTGTGATCTGTGATATACTTCTGTGAATCACTGAGGCATTGTGTGTTTGTGTGTTCTTTGTCCTCAGAACTTTCAAATAACTTGAGGTGTTTTATGATTAATAGTGATGTTGTGCTTTTGGACACTGTCCTCAGGCTCCAGCTTTATGTTTATATGTTTTTATGTTGATGTGCTATTGTTTTTAATTGATTTTATTTTATTTGTATATTTAACCTATTCTTGACTCTGTGGTTCTTGCACTTGTTTGGGGAACAGGATTTCATTATTTTTATCTACATTTCTGCCTGAGAAATGACACCCTGATATAGTTCTGTGATCTGTGAAACAGTTCTGTTAATCACTGAGGCATTGTGTGTTCTTTTTCTTTAGAATTTTCAAATAAACTTGACGTGTTTTATGATTAATAGTGATGTTGTGCTTGTACTATTTTGGACACACTGTCCTCAGGCTCCAGCTTTATGTTGTATGTTGATTGTATTAAAACAAAGAAAACAATCTGAAGTTGTTGTTTTTAAGTTATATATACCATGATTTTTCCGGTCCGGCCCACTTGGGAATAGATTTTCCTCCATGTGGCCCCTGAGCTAAAATGAGTTTGACACCCCTGGTTTAGAGGGTGTGAACGATGCTAAATGGGCGTAAGCAATGAACAGCACTGTAGCTGTTCAATGTGAAAGGTTATCTTTATTATACAACAATAGGCAATTTAATACTGTACATGGTTTTCCTAATAGGGGAACTTGGTGAGAACATGTTCAGAGAATCCATTTAGGCAATTTGGTGAAAGTATTCCTTTTCTAAATATATGTTTCCCAAGGATTAATGTAGAGCAAGTGTGAAAATCACAGCAAAATGTTTGAATGCCTTTCTCTCCTAAATGGGATTATAAATGTAGCAACTTTTAAAGCAGCATTACTTCCCATGTTTCCTCGGACTACAGTGTATGATATGCCATTTTGAAGCTCTGAGTCTGTACTTTTATCCAATGTAAAAAATCCAATGTAAAAAAATAATACTCTGGATTTGAATTCTCTCATTCAAATCAAAGACGCAAAGTTACACTAGATGACTGTCTCATTTCCTCATGGTGATACTATGTATGTGTGTGTGTGTCTTGCCTGTAAGTCCTGCTGCTCCTTGGTCAGCATCTTCTGTAAGATGTCCACCTTCTGGTTGTGTACAGCGTTATTCTCCTTCTTAGGGACCAACCGAAAATAAGAAAAACTGAAATGATAAGAGTGCTTGGGGACAGGACTTCACTGACAAGTGCAGCAGAGGGAGAGTGACAGCTTTAGGACAAAATAGAGGAAACTAGTGAGAGAAGCGTGAGAGTAAAGATCCAAATAGAAAGTGAAAGAGGTAGAGTGAGCGAGGGTGGGTGGAGGCTGAGGTGGGAAGGAGGAAGGGGGGTGAAGAAGGGATGTGGAACTGTGGAGACCGAGAGAGAGAGAGAGAGAGAGAGAGAGAGAGAGAGAGAGAGAGAGAGAGAGAGAGAGAGAGAGAGAGAGAGAGAGAGAGAGAGAGAGAGAGAGAGAGAGAGAACTAAAGAGACACATGTCTGAAATAGCACCCTACTCTATATAGTGAATAGGATGCCATTTCAGTTGCAGCCACAGAGCAAGGTGGCTGTCGGTCGTACCCAGAGAGGCAGCGGGGAGGTGATGTGGTCCTGGGGGCTGGTGGAGGTGGAGCAGCGCTCCCCTGTTCCCCCTATTGTTCCCAGAGAGTGGGGTGAGGAGAGGGACGAGGACAGGCCCCCCAGGTCTCCACCCTCGCCCTCCGACAGGAGGATTTGGGCTAGTCCCGGGGGCCTCCCCAGCACCGTGAGGGCAACATAGGAGCCCGCTGACACAGAGAGACAAGAGGGTTCGGTTACAGTAGCTTTATTACTTGTTATAAGCATGTATGAGCATTTATAATGTCTTATTATAAAACATTATAATATGTTATGTCTCTTTATGTAGCTTTCAACTCAAATTGACTGAACACTTACTTCACTCACAATGGCTAGCCTATTATATGGTCAGGATCATTACGAGATAAGACATACACTACATGCTTATGACAAGTCTTAGAATGCATTATAAGCAGTTCAAAATGCATTAAAGCCTACTATTTGTTGGCTTTAAGAAAGTGCATCTCTTGAAGAAACTGTGATTTTTCATGTCTACGAACAATTAGAGATATAACTGCCACTTTGACTTACATTTTATTAACTTGACGACTTCTACATGGTTTGAATGTGTTACTAAGCTCCCGTTAACCTGCAACAAAAACAGAACATCAGCTACATGTCACATCAACGTCAATCAAATAAAAATAAAAAACGTTCTATGGGAGGACTATGCATTCTGTTCCAGATTGGAAGCCCCATATTAGTTCATGGGTACGTTCAACAGGAGCAGGTGTACATACCAACTCTTTCTATGCCAAGAAACACCATATTTATTTCTAAATGTTCATTCATTTTATATTTACATTTTAGTCATTTAGCAGACGCTCTTATCCAGAGCAATTTATAGGAGCAATTAGGGTTAAGTGCTTTGCTCAAGAGCACATCCACAGATTTTTCACCTAGTTGGCTCAGGGATTCGAACCAGCTACCTTTCGGTTCCTGGCTCAACCTGCCACACTATCTGCCCATTCAAGTGTAAATCCTAACATCAATGCATGACTAAGTGAATATTTGACTTAAAGGGAAGCTGTACCTGTAGACTTCCATTCATAGTGCAAATGCTAGTTAGCAACTGCTCGCAAAACTACCTTCAACTCCTTTAAACTGAACGCAGAGACATAAAAATGGTATCCATGAGTTCATCTGACTCTGGGTAAGAAGAAAAAGGGCTTCATTGCCAAAGTCTCACACTATCCCTTTATGGGAAAGTTTGGATTCCCCCTCACAGACTAACAATTCATTTTCTGCACTGACACTATGCACAGCACGAAGGCATCCTGCCCTTTCCAATGACATTGGATTACATTGCCATGTTATGGTGTAGCTCCTCATCAACCCAGCAGGGGGCAGAGTGGTAAAGTATGCAGGGGGCCTAATCCATTACCCATTACCTACCTTTGTAGCCTGCAGGGTTCTCTTGTCTGAGACAGGATGAAGTTGCCCCAACACACTGATCTTGGGTCAGTTTAGCATTTTCCCTACTAATGTTAAGGTTAGGGGAGACTGATCCTAGATCTGTACCTAGGGGAAACTTCACACCTGATCGGTCTCTGTCTGAGAGACAGTGGCAGAATGAAGTTCCCCCCTTCACACTGATCTAGGTTCAGTTTAGCATGTTGGTTAAAATGCATAAGGTAAGATTTTGGGAAGATAAACTGATCCTAAATCTAAGGGCTAAGGGTAATCTCTGACAATATTTAAAATCTTGCGTAATTGCGTCACATGCTCAATTAAGTTCTGGGGGGAGACATGTTAGAAAATTTACTAACTAATGACACTAGCGAAGTCGCCACCCCTCTAAACAAAAACTCTCAGCAAGTTTTGGGCAAGTCTATAGGCCAAATAGCACCTGCAAAATTGTGATTTGTCCAAAATGATCAGAGACGAAAAATCAGCGTACCAGAAACAAAGTTCCTCGTTAGTCGTCCCATCCCACAGTCTGTTGACAGATGCTACTACCATTTATGTTACATGCATCTGTCAATGAAATATTAGGCTAAGGGTACTGTCTAGGAAGAGTGTAATGGGCCCCAGAGAGGGAATGAGCCTCACCTTGATGATCCTATCACCCGTCTGGACGCCCGCTCGCATGGCAGCGCCATCTGCAGAAGAGGACAGGACAGGACAGGTAATGGGAGTGAGAATGATAAAAGGTTAGCGATATTACTGTATCCAACTGTATAATGACACATTCAGAGATAAATCCAATACATTGTATCTTTGCCTTGGGTATCAAGACTATATGATGTAGAATATATATTAATATTCTGCTCTGCCCCCAATCAAACATGTTGATCTAACGTCAGAGGTTTACACCCCCAAGATATGCACTTAAATTTCCTTATAACATTATATATATTATACATACATTTTTATATGGGTGGCCTTAGTGGGAATCGAACCAGCAACCCTGGTGTTGCAAGCACCATGCTTTACCAATTAAAGGAATACTTTGGGATTTGTTGGCCCTTTATCTACTTCCCCAGAGTCAGATGACCTTGTGGATACCATTTTTAAATCTCTGTGTCCAGAATGCAGGAAGTTAGAGGTAGTTTCTCGAGGGCCAATGCTAACTAGCATTAGCGCAATGACTGGAAGTCCATGGGTATCATCATAATTTCCTTGACTTGAGCACAGGAAGGTGTAGATTAGAATAGGATGTAAAAGGCCTTACCCTCTTTGACCAGCTGCACAAATACAGGGTTGTCTCCGCTCACCGTCAGCCCAAAGCCATTCTCATCTTTCTGGATGATCACACAACGCTGGACAAGCCCTACACAGACACACACAGACAGATAGACAGAAGAGAAAGATATGGTGTGTTACACACACACACGTTTCAAATACTTAATAATACACCACAGTTATTATAGTACTTCACTCTCTTCTTCAAAAGCCTTTAATAAATGGATGCATTTTGAAAAGTGCTTATTGTTGTTAAAGGGATAGTTCAGCAAAATTGCATATTAGATATTTTGTTCCCTGAATTTGAAAGCAGTCTATGCAAGGAGAGAATAACAAAAGTGTGTGGATTGCAGTCACTCCTTGTACATAGACTGCTTTTAAGGTAAGGAAACACATATCTAAACAATTTTGATGAACTATCCCTTTAATATCAGTATGATGCCAAGATAGGCTGTTATGAATAATGGCATAACACATGACCCTTTAAGAACCCAGTTTGACACTCATAAACTCAGCAAAAAAAGAAATGTCCTCTCACTGTCAACTGCGTTTATTTTCAGCAAACTTAACATGTGTAAATATTTGTATGAACATAACAAGATTCAACAACTGAGACATAAACTGAACAAGTTCCACAGACATGTGACTAACATAAATTGAATAATGTGTCCCTGAACAAAGGGGGGGTCAAAATCAAAAGTAACAGTCAGTATCTGGTGTGGCCACCAGCTGTTACCCCACTCTTCCACCAAGGCACCTGCAAGTTCCCAGACATTTCTGGGGGGAATGGCCCTAGCCCTCACCCTCCGATCCAACAGGTCCCAGACGTGCTCAATGGGCTTGAGATCCGGGCTCTTCGCTGGCCATGGCAGAACACTGACATTCCTGTCTTTCAGGAAATCACGCACAGAACGGGCAGTATGGCTGGTGGCATTGTCATGCTGGAGGGTACCACATGAGGGAGGAGGATGTCTTCCCTGTAACGCATAGCGTTGAGATTGCCTGCAATGACAACAAGCTCAGTCCGATGATGCTGTGACACACCGCCCCATACCATGACGGACCCTCCACCTCCAAATCGATCCCGCTCCAGAGTACAGGCCTCTGTGTAACGCTCATTCCTTCGATGATAAACGCGAATCCGAACATCACCCCTGGTGAGACAAAACCGCAACTCGTCAGTGAAGAGCACTTTTTGCCAGTCCTGTCTGGTCCAGCGATGGTGGGTTTGTGCCCATAGGCGACGTTGTTGCCGGCGATGTCTGGTGAGGACCTGCCTTACAACAGGCCTACAAGCCCTCAGTCCAGCCTCTCTCAGCCTATTGCGGACAGTCTGAGCACTGATGGAGGGATTGTGCGTTCCTGGTGTAACTCTGGCAGTTGTTGTTGCCATCCTGTACCTGTCCCGCAGGTTTGATGTTCGGATGTACCGATCCTTGCAGCTTGCCTAAGGCACGTTCACGCAGATGAGCAGAGAACCTGGGCATCTTTCTTTTGGTGTTTTTCAGTGTCAATAGAAAGGCCTCTTTAGTGTCCTAAGTTTTCATAACTGTGACCTTAATTGCCTACCGTCTGTAAACTGTTAGTGTCTTAACGACCGTTCCACAGGTGCATGTTCATTGATTGTTTATGGTTCATTGAACAAGCATGGGTAACAGTGTTTAACCCTTTACAATGAAGATCTGTGAAGTTATTTGGATTTTTACGAATTATCTTTGAAAGACAGTTTAAAAGGACACGTTGTTTGGGGAACATTGATATAAGTGACAACAACACCCCCTGTCATGTTTCCTTGAACACAGATTGTGAGTTGTTTGAGTTGCAAATAGAGAGACACACAGGATGGATCACACTCATGGTTTGACATTGACTCATCACACCAGTTCACGTGCAGGTGAGTTTCACTAACAGAAGTCAAATACAATGGTTAATCCAAACCAATATCATCACTATATACAGTGAGTGCATATTGTAAAAGCCAAACGAGAAAGCAGATTAAACTAGTAATCCAAGTTGCAGTAGGTACAGTAAGACATTTTGCAATGTCAAATAATGGCTAATGTTGCAACCCAACAACTTATTATGTATTGCACGTGTGACAAAATGTGGTGCTGTCTCACTTTGAAGCACTTTAAAGGGACAGTTCAGCCAAATTTAAAATGCACATATTTGTTACCTTACCTTAAAAGCAGTCTATGAAGAAAGAAAGACTGCAATCCTTGCTTTGGTTTTATTAAACTGATACTGTACATACTTCTTTCAGCATAGAAACGGTCCCGTGTAGCTCAGTTGGTAGAGCATGGCGCTTGCAATGCCAGGGTTGTGGGCAGGGGCGGCCTGTTCAATAGGGCGATATGGGCGACGCACTGCCAAACGGGAAAAGGAAGGGATTTTTTTTCTAATCAATTATATCACGG